AAGTATTTCTGGCTGCCATTAAAGCATAAAGACAAAATAACACTCAAAGAAATTCAAAGAAATGGTTTTTGAAAAGTCTGACAATAAAAATATATATATATCTTAGGCAGTTAAATCTGTCACCGAGAAATGGGAAAAAAATATGATCCGTGCAAATCTGCCTAGATCAAACTGTCCTAACAAATTGAGTGACAGTGAAAGAAGGAATCTAGTGAAAGAGGCCAACAGGACACCTGGCCACACTAAGAGTTACAGGCTTCAGCAGCCAAGCTGGGAGAAACATACAACACATTGCACAAGCAAAGAATCCCCACTGTGAATCGTGGTGGTGGTGGTAGCATTGTGATGGTAGCATCATGTGGAGTGCCCCAGTCAAAGCCCAGACCTCAATCTCATAGAGAATCTGTGACAGGACTTGAAAAGGGGTGTGCAAATCCACGATAGTCAATACTTTTCACAGGCACTGTATAGTTTTCAGAATTTCGAAAGACTCCTGTAACATGTGCATTCGGGGGGCTAAAGAGTTTAAATATTGAATATGTTGGCAATGTCGTCAGGAAGTCTTCCACGGATTCACAACATCCACATATAAACATTTCCACAAGGCTTGACTTGCCTGCTTGGGAGCTGCTACAAAGTGCCTCTGTTCTTGTCTAACCTGAAAGCATGTCTAATGGTTTCCCTCATTGTTTGAGCTGAAATAACATCCCCACAACACAACATCATTCACTATTGATCATTGGTGGATAAAATGCTGTCATACTTTGCTCAGTTTTCATTATTCATGTGTCTTAATGTCTCTTTGTGTTGAACAGTTGAGTTCATCTGGCAGTTTAAGTAAAGAGTCGCTACAGCTAAGACTATTAAAGGTTTATTAGGTTTGCAAGTCAGGAGAGGTTTTATCAAGATACATTAATCTGTCAAAACAATATGACCACCTGCTTATTATTGAGTAGGTGTTCACTTTGCTGCAAACTATTTTCACTCCATAGAAGCCTGTCAGAAGTTTAAATCATCTTAACCCAGATGATTTAAACTTCTGGGTAAAAGCAGCAAAAATACTGCAGTATTTTGCTGCTTTTAAGAATTGGAACTAGTCTTTCCAAGTACAGAACAAACATACAGCTCTGAGAATGTCAAAAACAAGAATTGGCTGTACACATGTGAAGTTGTTGGTCTATACACATACAGTAGTCACATGCATACGCCATCCTCACTAATGTGCTGTTAAATAGCAGGGTGCAAACCAATCATATGTTTTGTGTGAGATTTCTTTTTATTTTTCTGGCGTCAATAAGGTTCTGTTTCAGGTCCGTCTGGATATTTTACGACTCTTCATGCCAAAATTGGTAAACTGCATGAAAATCGGTTTGTTCCCTATAATAAATAAAAAAAATAAATAAATAAAAAAAATAAAAATAAAAAAATAATAATAATAATAATAATAATAATAATAGACCAAGACCTTTTTTTTTTTTTTTTTTAACTAATCTTGACTCTCAACTTCTGGGAATCTACATTGTGTCTCCATCTAGTGGACAAAAATTGAAATTACATAATTTCATTGCTCAAGTCCAGTTCTCTAGTCTTGAATTAGATACATGAAAGAGTATTTATGTGCTTTCTGTATCATGAAAAAAAAATAGTGAGAATGTTCTCACCTTCTGTGAAGAACATGTTTCTCGCCATCAGAGAATGTTGCATGTTAGTTTTGTACAGTTATGTTACATTTGATCAAAAGTAGAAAACTGTGTTTAAAACTAATATGCTCTCTAAACATATTTCTTTTGTTACAAGACAAAGTTTTGTCCATATTAATTTCAATACTTGTTCACTTTTACCAGAATGGATTCTCCTTGGTAAGACAATTATATTTAAGCTATTAATCAGTAAGTCACAAATAGGTTCAAACTTGTAAAATGAACCAATATTGTGTCAACTGTTAAAAGTTTAATAAGAAATATTTCAGTAACATCCACCTTTATACACAGTTTAATGTAGTACTGCTGTGACACATTACAACACAATATTTAGTTACATCTCTTCTCCAAGGATCAGGGGGAAAAATCAGCCAATTGTTCCTCTTTTAATCAAAATTACATTTATTAAAAAAAAACATTTACTGCACAATATTCTGTCCTGCTTGCGTACTTCAAATAAGGTGAGTGAGAAATATCAGAATGACATAAACTCCAGGAAAAATTCTAGAGGATTTTTTTCAAGACCACCTACAGTAAAAGACACTTCTCAATGATAACAAAAAGAGAACGTCATTCTGGCTCTGCAACTTCTTGTGGTATTGTAAAAAGTTGCTGGTATTGAACAAACAGAAATAATTTCAAAAATCCAAACTGACCTAAAACAGGAACATTTTATTGTGGTTTGATGTAAGAGAGGTTATGTGTCATTTCAGACAGTGGGTGCAAATACCTGGTTTCAAACGTTTTACAAAGCAAATATGCTTACTTTCATTTACATTTGATTTTACTAACAAATATATTTCTTGTTCAATCTTAAATATAAGAATAAAATCTAGTTTTGATAATTGCTAAACTCAAATAGGATGAAAGACCAATTATCATTCTGGGAACTAAAAAGTGAATCACTGATTTTAGAAATAAAAACCCCTTTCCTGAATACAATTCTATATTTGTATTTATGAATAGTAACATATTGCACTCATTTTTTTCCTTTTTTTCCCTAATTTTGATAGTACACCTTATTGAACTTAGATAATACCGAAAGTAATCTCAGACTAAAAAAAAAATTCAATAATTGAAACAATCTTCACATTTACACTTTTATTGTAAAGGCGGTTTGTTACAAAACACTTATGTGACACAGAAATGAACAAAAAAAAAAGAGCAAAAGCAACAAAATAAGCAGAATTTAAAGAAAGTAGCTACAGAAATCTAACTTTGGTGATGATGTTTATTTAAACAGAAAACTAACCTGCTGACAAATACAAAAAAAAAAGTACAAAAACAAAAAAGAATGTAAGCAACATAAAAACTATATACGACACAATCTTCTAGCAAAAAGCTCCGATAGTGACTGGCTGCATGGAGAGCTGTCCCATATGTTTGAAAAGTGTAACAACTTCCAGATCAAAGCAGCAGATCAGCTCAGTGCGACTCTCCTAGGACCCCATCTAATGTTTCCTTTCAGAACTAACTAAAGCAGATGCGGCCGTTAAACGATCTGTTCTGCGGCAATAAGTACACCTGGAGAGGCATACTACCGAAAACAAAAAAAAAATTGCACATGCTATATCAAAGTTCTGTGACGTTATCGCAGCTTTAGATGCTACATCAGCTGAAACAACAGATAAACAGCAGTACAGTATATAAAGAACTAATCTGAACAGTATAAAACATGTCCACGTAAAGTATTTGTTTATTAGAGAAAGCAGTTTTTGTAATTACCTAGCAGTGTTTTTTATAAGTGTGGTTAGATAGATTTACAGTACATTTTGAAGCCCTAAAAGATTTCCTGTTTAAACATCTGTGTCCTGCAAAAAGCCCCTAATATTTTCATCTTTTTTTAAAAAAATCATCGTCGCCTTATGCTTTTGGAGATGGAAAGTAAAAGTTGTTGATAATAAATTATAAAAATACATGATTGTAAGGAAGAGTAACAATCCTCTTTTGACAACTAAATTACTTTTATGCTTTTTAAAGCACACCAACACCAGGGGTATCGCATGTGAAATGAAGCGTTTGGTAACTTGGGAGTCAGTTTTATCTATTGTCCTTCTCCATTGTAAGTTAGTTGGAAAAGTTTGACTCACACTCATAGTCTTAGTGTAGTGAAACTTCTACCAGCAGCTGTCTTGTTTTTCCGTTGCAACTAAGCAGAGTGCCTGCTTCCAGTTTTCTCAGATGTTTATTTTAAGAAAGAAAAAAAAAGCGGAGCAAGTTGATGGTGCACATTTCACACATAAAATCATACCAATAGTGTTACATATGCTGTGTATTATCTAGTATTAAACAATGACTACAAAAATCTAAAAGGGGCTTTTGTGAGCCGATAACTTATCTTTCATTGATTTAAAGTACAAATCCAAGTTTTTGCTTACATCTCAAAAGAAAATTTCAAAGACAAATTGTATACATATTGGTATTACTGTGATTTATAAGTGATGTCTTTGTTTAGTACGTGATAAACTGTGGCAGCCTGTTAACATTTTGGACAAGAAAGCAAATGGAAATCATTAATTAAAATCTAAAATTGCTGGAGTAACATTTTAAACTTTTAAACTATTTAAACTATTTCCGCCTTTCAGTTGTAGGACAAAACATAACAGAACTGATCGGGCCTTTAACAGCTTCTACAATTATGTAAATCTAACTTCAAGTGTGCAAACACCCAATTCATTCTAGACTATCAATTACTGCACAAATGTGAAGCCAAAAGGAAAATGTGTGATAAAATAAACATCAGACAGTGCCCCAACAACACACTGTGCAGTGCTTTGAGGAGTGACAGAAACTTCACGAACATCTCAGTTACAAGTTTAATTCAGTTAAAGAATAACTAGAAAAATTCTAAACAAGTATAGATTTTTACAAAGAGTTACTGAGCAAATTCTCCTTTACCTAAAAATAAAATGGCATCATGCTATAGGTCTGTGAACTAGTCTAGACATCAGCACAGTTCAGATGCTTTGGTTGGACCTTAAAAGAGATGTTTCACAACCGAATGTCTACAAACCTCAGTTTGATACAATGCTGAAAGACGAGATGCCCAAAAATCCTTCACAATGAAGTGATAAAGTCAGACAAATGACTATTGAGAGTCACTGCAGCTAAACGTGCTTCTACAAGCTATTGGATTATGTGAGTATTAGTATTTCAAATGAAGCTTCCTCCGTTTGGCTTCATCTTTGTTGAAAAGAAAGCACAGACTATAATGTGATTTTACACTCAAAGTTAGACTTCGAAAGCTTCAAGATCTTGTAAGGACCAAATCATCTTTGTTATACTTTGCTAAAAACATGTGAAAAAGGGCGTCTTTTTTTTTTTTTTTTTTTTTTTACCATGATTGCATAATTTAAAACCAATACTGCAGATGGTGGAAGGGGTTTTATGAGTTGGTAATGCTGAGGTTAACAAAGCTGTTAGTTCTCCGAATGCAGTTTTGCAGGACACAGATGTTAGTGTCTAATACTTTCTTTGTGTTCTAAAATGAAAACCCTTCCTGTTTACTAATTTCTACAACAGCTTCACTAAACATCAAACCTTCTCTTTCTGTACTCTGTTTTCCATCTTCTGAGTTCATCACTTGCTTCCTCTTTCGCCCATCTCTCCTTTTTGAAAGTTTGAAACTAACCCATTAGCATCGCCCTCTCCTCCCTTCCGCCAACACAGAACAAGTTTCTTATTAAATTTAGACATTTCTGATGTTTGCGACACTCCTTTCCTCCCTGCTCAGTAGTAGCAGGAATCATTGTTACAGGCACGGATCTCCCTCCGGTCCTTGCAGTTGCCCTTTCCCCTTCTCTTTGGCACCCTGAAGCGCTCCTGTAAGCCTCCTCCGCAGGGTTTAGTGCAGTCAGTCCAGCTGGTCCATGGCTGCATGCGGCAACCCGCTGCACCTGAACAAATGAGAAGCAGCAGGGGAGGTAGAAACAAAGTAAGAAACCGTCATTCAGAAGTAATCAGCAACACGGATGGAGGACTCCCTGCTTTACAACACAGTGCATGCACGTCGCAAAAACAAAACAAATAAAAAAAAAAAGACATGTCTACATAGTTATGAATTAATGTGATTTTAAATAGATGAGATGCAACTAAATTATCCGAATACTTTTATTTACCCAATTCCTTGGCCTTGCTTCTGCCTCCCCCTTTTGTGCGGCACTTCCTGATCTTGCATTTCTTCCGCTGGATGGTCTCGGGACAAGAGCTGCCCCCGAACTGCGGCTCCAGTTTGATCATTCGAGTGCGAATCGTGTGCCCTTTACCGCAGGACTTGTTGCACTCCGACCACTCTGACCACTCTGAGACCATACAGTCCACCGCTGGATGATAGGATGATAGGAACAATGGAAGGTAAAGACATAAAGAGAAAGAAAAATCAGAAGAAAAAGAATAAATAAGCTTTTTTTATGTTACAACCCAAACCATTTCTATCATTTTTTGGGGGATTTCATGTGGTAGACCAGCAGAAAGAAGTGTTTAATTCTGAAAAGATGCATCGTTTTCAATTATTTATTGGGTGATAATGTGAAAGTGTCATGCTTTTGTTTTCAACGTTCTCATCTACATACTTTGCAGGACCACTGCGCATTGCAAAAACAGCTGCAGGCCATCTGGGGAAGCTTCAACCAACTTTGTACACATACAAGCTAAAATTCGACTTTAACCAAGGCTAGACAGAGGGTCTGTAAACCTTAACCTTTACAGGGTCGTTGTCTTTCGTAAAAGATAAACCTCGACCCCAATCTTTAGACTTTTATAGGAACTAACAGGCTATCTCCAGGATTGCGGCAGTTAGCTAGATCCATTTTCCCATCAACTCAAATCAGCTTTCCAGCCAGTGCTAAAGAAAAACATCCCCACAGCATCACCAATTTCCACAGTGGGGATGATGTGTGACGGGTAATCTTCTGTGATAGTATTTGATCACACGTAGCACAAATGTTGCATACGTCCAATTTTGATCTCGTCCGACCAGAGAACCTTCCTCCACATGTTTGCCGTGTCAGCCACATGTGATGCATGTGTGCAGCAAACAGAATTTCTATGTCTTTCTTCTTGCAACGCCTCCCTAGAGGAAAAACAAAATGCGGAGAGTACAATTACTAGGATTATCTTGTTGGCATATTCTCCCAACTGAGCTGTGGATCTCTGAAACTCCTTCAGAGTTACCATTAGCTTCTTGGGTCCTTCTCTGATTAGTGCTATCCTGGTCCAACCTGTCAGTTTCGATGGGTAACCAGGTCTTATTAAGTTTGCAGTTGTGCTGTACTCTTTCCACTTTCAGATAATAGATTGAGCAGTTCTTCCAGAGATGTGCAGAGTTTGGTGTAGCGTTTTATGACCTAATTATGTTTTAAACTTTTACTCAACATCGTCTTATACACATCTTTTATCCCCCTTGGTTTTCACAATGCACAATGGTGTCTGTTAAACCTCTTTAAACCTCTTAAGCACAGCTGGATCAATAATACAAGTAATCTACTCTTACTTATGGGATAAGAGTAAACCATGAGCAAACCATAGGTTTTTGTTGGTCTATCACACAAAATCCTAATAAAAAACGATTGCAGTCTGAGTCTGTCATGTTCCAAAACGAGAACAAGGTCAAGCTTATGATAACTTTATCAAGGCACTGAGCATGTGACACATTTGGTTGGGCACAAACTGTGCAGAGCTCCAGGGAGACTGACTCCTTAAACAGTAATGAATATTTAGGAGGATCTTAAGCAGAATAGTTCCTACCATTTATGAGATTCAGTTTGATACCACAAACCCAACAGATCATTTTATTTTATGAAACTTGCACATTCACAGCAAATTTCTGAAACAGCCTTTTCTGCAAAGCCAGAGCTTGTGAAGTTTTATCATCACATTGGACAGATCAGCACACAGCAGAACAACTGCTCCCACTGACGCTGCACCTTCCTGTCCAGAAACAATGGAACATAAAAGCAAGTATTTCACGCTACACTGTGCGTTTTTAAGACAAGGGGAATGACCACGAGATGCTTATGATCAATGGTGTTTGCTCTGTTGTAATGTTCAAATGTTTTTAAATGAATCCCAGTTACAAAATGCCTACCAATATTACAAAAAACAAAAAAAAAAAAAAAAAAAAAAAAGAAACACTTTTTTTGCAAATGTTCCTGTTTTAACCATCAAACTCATATCTGTGTAAACTCATTTGTCCTTTGAGATCAAAGGTGGGCAACATTTTTTCCACTGGTTTGCTTTGTTTCAATTTAAGGAACTAAAGAGCCACAAACTGAAATCAAATATGGAGTAATCTTTGTAAAACAGCTAAAACACATCTTTATGGTAGTATATGTTACAGAGGTAGAGTATGTAGACTCTGAATGCATGTGTGCAGTTAGAAAATGATGAATGGCATAAAACTAAGCTGCAAAAAAGGTTGCGAACCATTTTCAGATGTGATATCCCCTTCAATCATTGTAACTCTCCAGTCTGCCCAAAAAAGACAAAGCATCTTGACACTGATCTTCCTTCTCACAAAACTTTCCTGGCATTTCAAACACAGCATCGACTCCTGCTGTTTAGATGCTGGCTATTGGTTGAAAAATGCAACATTAAGAATACATTATTTTTAGGGTATTTCCTAGAAGTACATATGTTGTGGCAGCTTTGTCATCTTTCTAGTAAGAACTAATTTAGTTTTAAAGCCGTTTGTTTTTAACAGGAAAATGGACCCAAATGCTTTTGTGTTGCATCTAAATATGTTAAAAAAATGATGTTTATGAATGACCTTTTTCAATGTTTTGTTTCTATATGAATTCCTCTAGGCAGACATTTGACCCAGGAGGGATTCCCGACAGCAGCTATGAGTCTTGTTTAGGTAACAAGAACTTCATGCCTGCAGCAAGAGTGTCAGAACCGCATATCATGAAAACAAGTATAAATTGCGACTGTACATCACAGAGCTCAAGGCAGCAAATCTTTCAATATGCTCAAAAGACTGAGATTGTGTTAAACTGAGATGAAACTATCAGCTTTTTAGGAACAGAAGTGAACAAAAAAGAATTTATTGCACTTTTACAGTAACAACAATAATAATCACAATTAGTAGCCTAATGCATTTTAACTCTTTTGAGAACATGGCAGAACACTTTGTGACAAATCTGAATAGTTCACATAAACTATAGTTTATGTACATGAACCACATTGAAGTAAATTGTGATGAATTGTAGAGATTCAAAAAAGTCTTATTTCGCCACATGCTGCAGTTCTCTTCCTGAACAACAGTCACTTTCAAGCAAATAGGACCAGTCTGCAGCAGAATGTGCACAAGTTCAATAAACCAGAACAGGAGCTGCATTACTAAACTTTAATCTGAACAGATTCAATTTTACCAACATAAACTTTTTAAAGCAGATGCATGCAAAATTCTTATAAAAACTTAATCTAATCACGGTTGCTCTTATTGTCTTTTTATTACAACAGCATTTTCTCTGCAGTGGTCTCACATGGGCACACCACCTCATTAGGTAATGCTGCCAATATTTGGGCAGAAAAACTGTGAAGAGAACCAGTGAGATATAACCATATGCAGTCAGTTAAGAATATTAAATATTAAAAAAGTGAATCTCCTGAACTAATGAAAAAATATTATAAATCTGATTAATTCTCAGAAACTCACACATAGAAAAATTGTTGAGTGTTCTGAAAATGTGACTCATTTTGTTAAGCAAGAAATTAGAGAGGGAAAAAAAGTTAAATTTGTCCCATTTTTCTTTATCTTTACAATAAGGACAAAGTTCAGATTGATCCATGAGCTCCTTCTCTAAACCTGACTATATACTATAAAACCACAGTGAAGAATGACAAAACTGCACATGGCAGGTTGATAAAGAAGAAGTACATATATCCTGCACCAGTGACTTAGAGTGAGGTTCATGACTGGTGAGGCACCGACTCATCTGGAGTCGCATATACTGTATAAATCCCAAACAGAAGCTTATTGTTCACTTTTTAAACATTTAGTTGACTTAATTATCTTTTAATGAACTCCAGACATATGAAAATATGGCTGTCTTAATGGAGATGATCACCACAGAAGAGAGTTGGTCCTAGTTTGACTATATTTTTGGTCTTTTCAATCATCAAGAGAGAAACATGCAGGGACCCACTGCTACCCTCTGTGTCTTTGGGACTCGACACCGCCCTCTATCAGTACAGCAGAGTACTGCAATCTGTGCATTTTCACTGTGCATTTATGACCAATCAGAAAGATTAAATATCGCACGCACTTTCATTAAACATTAGATATACGGTACAAAGGGAGACAGAAATGGCAGGATCATCCAGTGTGTCTTCAGAGAGGAGGCACAGTTTCTCATTGCTTCGCCTCGCCTTTCTCCCATGTATTTGAAAGGCAATGCATAAATTCAGCAATTCTGACCATGAAATGTTGAAATTGTAGAGAAAGCAAATTTATAGACTAGTCAACTGGACAAATTGATTTTCTCTTATCACTGTTAATTTACTTGTCATGATGACAAGTGAGGCCGCCTCACCTACCTCTGCTCATTGCAAGTCACTGTCCCAAAGAGTTTAAAATTCAAGAACTCACGGCATTCAGGCAACATGCATTTCTCGGTTTGCTCCAGCTCCTCGGTGCACTCAGCAGGATCCGACTTCAGCATCCTCTGACGGTTTCGAACTCCCCGGCCGCACGTCACACTGCACTCACTCCAATCCGACCAGGGGGACAGCATGCAGGGGATAGTGTCTGTACACACACACATACACGCACGCACACACATTCAGTTACGATCTGAAATTTGTAGATCGATTTCCTTAGAGAGAACATTGTAAAGGAAAAATATGTAATAATAGATCTAAATCATGACTTTTATGTTGGTTACTGATTCACACAAATGCAAAACAACATGAAGAAACAAGCATGAATTCCAAGTAGTCGCTTTCTGCTTTACATATTTTACACGCAAATCAATTTTCGTAGTAACAGTGACAGGACAAAAACATTGTGAGGAGGTTCTGAGGAAGTGGGTTATTTAAATTGTGAGAGAGTAAACTTTACTTGTTTAGAAGCTTTCATAGGACAAAAACTACATAATACAAAATAAGCAAGCTCAAGATAAAACAAACAAGGAAAGATAAAAACCGCATACATATGATATCATGCAGTATAAAACTAGTTAAAAGCCAGTCTGAATAAATGTTTTTTTTTTTTTTTTTTTTTTTTTAAAAAAACAACAAAAACAAAAACGCAAAAAAATGGAAACAAAGC